GTATACACGAATAGTGGCACGTTCGTCGTAGTGGAGTTGATGTACGCCGCTGTGCGCACGCGACGCGTACACATATTCGTGCACGTGAGGCCCGGCACGCTTTCAACACAGGCTGCCCTTTGCAGTGCACTCTTACTTGAATTCTAATAATGTTGCCACGCTTATTCTGGTGACCCTAGCGAATGGAATAGGATAGTGAGCATGAATGGATGTGGCCCACTAGAAAACCCAAAGAATTTGCATGGTTTCGTGGTCTCACACTGTACAAGGAAGCACTACAGTGAGGACGACCGTAAATAGCAATACTTGTTACCGGTATGCTGTCACATTACGTAGCACGGCTGCTGTGACTAGTATCGACTTTACAGTAACCTGCAGAGGAAGGACACCGCTAGTATCAGTCGAAACCTCTTGGGAGGGCCTTCATGAAAAGAAAGCTTCTTCGAAGCTATTTTTACACGTAATAGTCATGAGAGATAGAGACCGGGTTCGAATTTTAAACGGTGCCAATATTGTCAAAGAGAAATGGAAATAATGGTCCATGGTTTGATTTCCCCTTGGTGATCAAATTTTGCACTCCTCTGGTTTTCATTCCTCGTGGTCATACTTGTCCGAAACTTTTCTCGAACGTGCAGCGTTTGGAACTAATTAGTGCTGAACATGCCATAAAATTAATGAGATCCAAAAAACGCGTTCTCTGAGAGAAAATGCGCAACACTTTTTGACGTTCCGGTACAGCTCAGTAAAAATAAAGCGGGGCGCTATCGCAAGATGCGGGGGCATCGCGGCGACAAAGCATAAATTTACGTCAAACGTCTCGTTTTTTGAACGTGACTGAGCCTTTGGAGCGGAAGGGAGAAGTGTGTGCGGGATGTGAGAACCATTTTCATTTCCCCTGCATTTCTACCTCTTCTAGGCTTAGTCCTAACAGTACCTCTGCATCTTGCGAGCCTGAACCTCATGAGACCATTTCGAATGAGAGCTTCATTTACTGAACGACCTTCCTGGTTACGAACTTCACCAAAATAATGTCGAACTCATTGAATGAATTAGGACGTAACCAGTTCGAGTCTTCCAGTGTTCAAAATCTTTGTTCGAAAAAAGCACCTCGGATTCCAAGGCAATTTGTCCTAGAAACTCATTCTTGCCTTCTACATTGTAACTTCTATGCTGAGATGGTCATTAAATATAGCATAATAAGAGAAGATGTTCCACAATAATAAAAATATGAAGCACTCAGTATTGATTAACTCCGGGTTGGGATGCGCCGCGCACATTGCATACCCTCAGAATCGTCGTGTACTTGAATGCGATTTGGCCTACATAGACGAGTCGCAGTACAGGAATAAGCTGGAATCAGTTCAGCAGCATTACATCGTCCGACCTCAATAACTACTACCAGACCTAATAACCTAACATAATCATTTGAAAACTCTGAACCGGACATCGATTAGCCTTAACAGGTCTTGAAAAAGCACGTCGCACTCTAGAAAGGCTAACCAGCTCCTAATTTTACAAATTTATATTGCTGGAAATGAGTCCAAATGTTAGTTTTGCTCCCTACATAAGGTCTCACTTAATTTGACCTATATCCGCTGGAGTTTAGAGTGAGTAGGGCTTTTTCAAAGCGACTCCCATCGGCTATCGATTAGCAGCCGAGAGCGTCAGTGCGCGCACCAGCGATTAATCAATTACCTATAAAAAATCCCATCTTCATAATCCTCACAGTATGAAGGAGAATAAATTGGGAAATAGTTCATATGAGAAGATGCAACGTATAAAAGCCGTCGGCGTCTGCTGGCCATATCACACAATTTCCAGAAAAGAAAACAGCTACTGATCGAGTAGATGTGAATAATAATAAGCGGAAATAAACAAATATGCTCTGTACAAAAATTACAATCACTTTTCTTAGTCAAATAGAAGATCTTAAAATGGACAAAAAACAAAGCGTAAGGCATGATATGGCATGAGAAACCGGTCGATAGCAAAAGATAGAGGTCAAAATCTATGCGTCCGTGATGTCAATTCCATCAATATCACCGCGAAGTCATAGAAAAGGGAACTGATCCACGAGTAAACCGTCACAATCGATCATGTTGGTCACAACCAATGTGTTCACACCAAATGCCCTCAAAACATGTCGATTCTGGACTAATGACCTTAACGGGCCTGGATTTGTTTAAAGAACGAAAGCGCGATGAATTGCTTTTTTTCTCACGCAATAAAAAAATTTTGACGTAAGGGGAGGGTGTGAGGCAGAGTCAACCCTGCGTTGCGCAGTTCTCAACGGCCACGTTGCGCAGTTTCGCCCGATTAGACACGTTCTCTCGCGCGAACATTCACACTCGCATGCTCGAGCCGTCTGTGTCTCCGCCCATACAGCGTGCGTTGAGGATCTCTCAACGTGCCGTTGAGAACTGCGCAACGCACGGTTGACTCTGTGTGAGGGGTGCAGGTTGCTGCATCATCAATAAGCTGAGTTATGGCTTTTGAAAAGTTTTGTTTTGTTAACTACTGAAAGCTGAAAGCAGTGGTGCCAAGTAGTGCGTCGGCGTTTTATTCCAAACAGGTACCCTGACAGGAGGCCCATCGCGCGGCAAGAAGGCAGAGTCGGCGGACGAGTCGCAGCGCGTGATGTGCGATGTAGGACGTGCAATGGACATTCTATTTAACTTGACGCGAAATCACTACAGTACGCGCTGCGACTCGTCCGCTGACTCTCTTGTTGCCGCGCGACGGGCCTCCTGTCGGGTACCCATCAGGGTGAAAATCGCTTGAGGAAAAGACAACGGCTCGTCGAGGATTCTTTCACGCTCTCCCACGCGGATGCTCACTCTCGCCAGCTGCGAGCCGTCTGTGCTCTCCGCGCATTCATTCACTCTCGACACTACTCTCGCACGGTAGAGAGCCATGGTCGAGGAATTCCTCGACCGTTATTCACCCTGGTACCCACTCCTAACACACTGTCGTTCATATGTCAGTGGGGGGGGTGTCTGAGGAGTGGAGGGACCGCTGAGGTAGCTTCGGCGACTTATCACGCCGCCGAAGAGGAATGAAGCTGTTCCCCCCCCCCCAAGATGGTCCAGACTGGTGTCCAGTGGTGCCAGACTTGCGCCGATAGCCCCGACGTCAGAAACAAATGTCATATTCGGAAGGAACTGAAGAGCTCGTTCATGTAAGTTCAAACGAACATATGAAATAAACTTGTCGCGTCACATTTTTGCCAAAAATGAATGTCGTAATTAGAGTTAGGCCATCCATAGCTTCTAGAAGGGAAGTTTCTCCATTTTTCTGCTCATTTCTATTCCGGTGGGGTTCAATATTTCAGTAGTGCCGGAAGATTTTAAGTGTAATGAAGCTAACAAGAATTAAAGCAAATAGGAGCAAGTAGAATCATTTCAAAAGAATCGCAAAAGGTACAAAAACGTGATTGAGATATTAGGATGAAGTGAAAATTGCCGTACCATGACCTTTGAACTCGGGGCCAGAACGGCGTCACTGCACGTTCCCACCATAATTTTAGTTTCACGGGGCTGATCTTTGAACCGTGTTCGATCGATATCAGGCGAATGCACGGCGCTTGCAGCGTACTCTAGCCGATTACGAACACCAACACATCCCGCTCGCGAACGTTTTCATCTTGAGACAAATTTGTCCATGAATTAAAATGTCGTTCAGAAGGATCTTCGATGGTCTCTATTTTCGATCAGTAAACAGGAATCTTTTTCTTGATAGGTTTGTAGGTTGTATTATGTTTGTATAGATTCGCGAGACCAAGTAGGCATTTGCAGTGGCGGAGAAAAATCAAGGGAAAGAGCTCAAAACCCGTGAATTGGGACACTTTTGCCGCTAAGTTCCATGTTCGGCGGGATTCTGCGATAGATGACTTCTTCAGTAAGGACATCTTGCTCTGCCTCACATACTCTTTCAGTGAAAACGGCAACCACTTACCACCGACCAATCATAGGCCCAGTCCGCCACATGGAGGCGGAGCTCCCCACCAAGGTGGAGTGCACCACAGGTAAGGCCTTGTTTGGCCGTTACGAGTGCGCCCTTCGCCGGAATGCCACGTCTCGATCGTTTTAGAAGCAAACCTTCCTTTATAGTAGGCAGATTTTTCTCCCTAAATATCCATTTTTTGTAGTGCCTCTCCTCAGACAAACGTTTATGATTCTGATTTGTAAGCACAGCAGATCCTGCAGTGATTGGTATCGGCCGAGACCAAAATCTTCAGTAGCTACATTTTGTAATAATTCTTTATGATCTACAAAATAAGTTAATACGGAAAATACATAGAAATGCGAAAATTTGGCAATTTGACACCGGTTGAAGCGATAGTCACACTTGAAAGAGTTCAATAAATACAATAATTAAACTGTATGACACATCACGTTGTAAATCCGTAAGTTTTTCAGAAAGACGCATTGCCTATTGGGTTGTCAAGCCACGGATATTGGTCTGGGCATGGGGAACAAGTAAGGAACTGATGCTCCTGGCTTCCTAGACCAGGTGTACGATACATGCATTTGTTCGGTTTTGAGCACGACTTTCGAGCTATGGCAGGGTACTGGTTGAACGACTGAGCACACTTGACAGCTTCTGACTGAAAAAAATCAATATGTAATAAAAACATATTACATCATCAAGACATCAGAGGTACCATTTGACCCGGAAATGGTGCATATTTGCACCAAAGTCTGGAGAAAAAGGCTGCAGTTGTAGCTCGTGCTCAGAATGCGAATATTGCGCGCGCTGCTACAAAGCGGTCGATTTGGATGGACACGACCTGCGCTCCATTGACACTCGAGTAATGCGCACCTTCCAATAATGAGGTGGCAACGCACGCGCTCTTGCGCGGTGAAGACCAAAGCTATCCGCTCCGCGACCGCACGCACGCTACTCCAGTGTTGCGTCCCGGT